TTTAGTAACTCAGAAGCTGATCAAATATCGGGTTAAATATCGGTGGGGTGGCCGATGTCCGATTTTCAGTTTTAAGGCCGATACCGATAGGGGGCCGATTATATCGTGCATCCCTAGGTAAAATATTGCCTTCATAGCCAACAAAGCAAATGGTAGCATCTAAAAATATTAAAAAAACTTAATCAAAATGCATAATATTAGAGCAAAGTGTATTGAAATATATTGTTTTTATGACATCCTTGTTATGACTCAGATAACCAGCATCCAACTATAAACCTGTTCCAGGAAGTTTTTCCTTGTTTATTTATAGCAGTTTGCAAAGTCAACACGAAATTCTGATAAAACGGACCAAGGTAGGAAGCTGCTCCTTCCTGATTTGTCAATATTTTCCAAGCATGAAAGAGTAAACACGCACTCACACTTCGCCCCCTCCACAACCACAGTCCTACGGATAAACATCGGTGCGCATAAAACTGGGTCACATGACTTCTTGTGAAAATTGTGCCATTTTAAAAGAAATTGCTGAAAAAAAACAGAAAAGTATTAAGAGCAGCTGAGGGAGGTCATGTGGAATCTCCATTTTTGCATCAAACTTTGCCCTTATGTTTTCGACAGAGCACCGCACTCTCTTCCTCTTTCAATTCAAAGGAAATCATAGCTGACTGATGCACACATGACCAGTCTTTGCACAACCTGAGGATATCTGAACTGCTTCACATACAAGCTTTACTTAACCTGCCAAAAATATTTGGCATTTAAAGAGCAAAGGGTTACAAGGAGACATGCACAGGTGGAATTCCAGTAACCAGTCAGCAGGGCTCACCAGTTTGCAGGCCATTCTCTTCCTGGTCTTGATGTCCTGAGCTAAGTGGACTTTCCCAAATGAGCCTTTGGGCACGAGGCCAGGGCCGGGATTTTTGTAGGTTAATGTCCATGGAAACAGAAGAACATCCATGTTGATCTGGTAGCGGCCTTTTTGAACGGCCATATCCTTCTGCAATGAAAGAGAAACTTGTTAAATCTTAGAAGACAATGAAATGCTTCAGCAAAATAGAACAATTACAGGAAGTCTTACCTTATTTAGGAGGACTCCTATCTCCTCAGGCAGGTGCTGCAGAGCTGCAGTCTGCATGTTGGACAGGAGGTTCACAAAGGACAGCAGGTCCTGCACCGTCCCATAGCGGACACCCCCAACCCCATTACCATAGTCCTTCTGCTCCTTCCCTGGACCCACTCTGTCCACTATCTCCTCATTTTCATCCATCTCCTCCTGGGAAAGTCCCTCTTCATCAAAAGACAAACCAGCTTCTTCCTCTTCCTCAAGCTGATACAGTGTTTCTGCTGCGTTGATGATGTCCTCTACATTCATATGAGCCAACAGCAGTTCTAGTCCGGTGTCATATTTGTAATCCATTTTTTTCTTCTTTGTCTGCTCGTCTGTTCTTGCACGGCCTGGAATAAAACATCGGGAGGTCGTTATTCTTGTTTTCCTCAGTGATCAGACAGAAAACTACACTGGTGCTTTGAAAGAGGCTGACTGAAGCCAAACACCTGGGAGGGGCTCAGAGGAGGGTTTTCCAGGCAAGGGAGAGATTTCAGAGTGAAGCCGGGAAACTCCAGCAAAGCTCAGCCCTCCGTTTACAGACAGACAGAGAGTTGTTAGGGAGCTGCACAGAGGAATCTAAGATATTTACAGCTACAGATTACTGGATATACTGATAAGCCCTGTGGAAACACTAAAAATACTTTGCAAGAATGAAAGAAGGAAAGAAAGAAAGTCTATCTAAGCAGAGTTGCCTCTAAGATGTAAACATTTTAAGGTATTAATAGTAAATCTTTAGGCTTTACAAGCAGCAAAAGATATAAAAACTTCAAACATTTACCTAAGATGTGTAGCAAACGCTGATCAGCATTGCTGCCTCTCCATTGTGCACCTCCAGCGTCTGGAACATATTGACGTGTGAGCTGTCTGTCTGACTGCTGTGTGACTGCGCTGGAACGGAAGTAAACAAAGGAAGTTATAGGTCTGCTGCACGTAGGAAAGATGACGCTGGCAGAGTGGGGAGGATTCTTTCTCTTTGTAGGTTTTGGTTGCTTTTTCTTAGGTATTCAGAGATGGAAAGATAAATGGTTTTCCTTTTTGATTCAAAGATTTCTTTTTGGTGGTGAGTTTTACGTCAAGAAATAGGAGGGAATCCTCTGCTTTTGTAGGTCAAAATCACCTTTGATTTCAGTCATTTACTCTCACATAGAAAGTTGAAACCGCAAACCTTTCATTTCAGTACCATTCATTTTTTTTCAATGTCTTAAAACAGTTTGTCCTAATTTTTTTAATGGAACAAAACCCTAACGCTAATGAAAATATGTAGATATCAGCATCTCCTTCCATCATCCATCTATTGGATAACAGGTCTGGCCTCCCTCTCCTAGGAGACACTTTCCAGCTGGTAGTCCTATCGGTCATCATAGGGGTTCTTCATCTTTCTGGTCTGGTCTTTATAAAAATATAAAGTGAAATTCCATTGAATCCTTATTTCTTAACACTATTTCCCTACTGAGAAAGCCTATTTTAAACACTTTTATCCGGGATCTTTTAAATACAAACTATGAATTAGGGTCAGAATGTAGAGCAAGGACTAATACAATAGCTTTGCTTTTTGCCTTATATTCTTCTTCACAGTTATAGAATAATGCATCACAAATATTGCAGATGGGACCTCAGATCGTTCGTTCATCTACTTTTCTGTCCTTAGCTTGGGAACTATGGAGCAGATTTTTTTCCATTATTGTTGCAAAAAAAAAAATGTTATCCAGAAATTAAACTTTGAATATTTTTAAAATAAAAAGCTTTACAGTTAGTTTGCCATTTTTTATTGTTTTATTATCCATTTTCTTATCAGTTGTTTTTTTTTATGTTTTCTTTGCTTTTTTTTATTTTATTTTATATTTTTATTTTTTGACATAAAATTTTCCAGAATTTTTTTGTGTGGATGTTATAGTGTCATTTTTTTTTTTCTTTTTACAAATTGCGTAACTTAAGTTCTCTACACTTCAGACCCCATGCAAATACACTTGATGCATACATTGACCCAAAAAAAATGCTGTTGCTGACTTCTATGCAGAATATTAGAAATGCATTTTCTCTCCTCACTCTAGACTCTAGAGTGAGTTTTACAAACAACATAAAAATAAAACAATAAGCCGGTCCCATCGTGGCGTAATCGGAGACACTGACACACGAAGTATGCTCCTGATGTCCAGTCTGCTCCGTAGCTTTGTTTTGGTCGCTGTAACCGCAGAAAATCCTGCTTCACAAAGTTAGGACGTTATAGATGGGATGAGTCTTGATCTGAATTAACCTGTGTCAAGAGGCAGAGATGCACCGACTGATGTAACTGGGAGAGAATACCGCAATTTATTATATTTTTCAAAATAAATTTTTTTTTTTTTTTGTGCGGCCCGGTACCAAATGACCCACGGACCGGTAGCGGTCCGCGGCCCGGTGGTTGGGGACCGCTGCTCTAGAGGAAAGCCCACTCCCAGAAGTGAAGAGAATGTGATCTGTAAAAAAAGAATGCAATTAGTGAAACTCAATCTAATAGCATATAAATAAAATTGAAAATATGAAATTTATAAAAATAAATTAAGGAATAAAATAAAAAACATTGTCAAAATGAAAAANTTTTACAAACAACATAAAAATAAAACAATAAGCCGGTCCCATCGTGGCGTAATCGGAGACACTGACACACGAAGTATGCTCCTGATGTCCAGTCTGCTCCGTAGCTTTGTTTTGGTCGCTGTAACCGCAGAAAATCCTGCTTCACAAAGTTAGGACGTTATAGATGGGATGAGTCTTGATCTGAATTAACCTGTGTCAAGAGGCAGAGATGCACCGACTGATGTAACTGGGAGAGAATACCGCAATTTATTATATTTTTCAAAATAAATTTTTTTTTTTTTTTGTGCGGCCCGGTACCAAATGACCCACGGACCGGTAGCGGTCCGCGGCCCGGTGGTTGGGGACCGCTGCTCTAGAGGAAAGCCCACTCCCAGAAGTGAAGAGAATGTGATCTGTAAAAAAAGAATGCAATTAGTGAAACTCAATCTAATAGCATATAAATAAAATTGAAAATATGAAATTTATAAAAATAAATTAAGGAATAAAATAAAAAACATTGTCAAAATGAAAAATCTGTAACAACCTGTAAAGTAAACATGAATTAAAAAATAAGCTAAATAAAAAAAATAAGCAGTCATTATTATTTTTGTTTTTTATGAATTAAAACATTTGTCAAAGTTTAATCTCTGGATTTTTTTTTTTCATTTAAATTTCCATTTAAAAATGTACCGGGCAACATATCAACATACTTGAAATCCTCAGAGACTTTGTCTAAATTCAGAGAAAGATAGAGCATCTTTTCCTAAGGGCAGTGATCTCAGATCCGGCAGCTGTCACTCTCGGCTGTGAACTGACTCAATGAAACACCAACAGAACCATCTAAATTCCAAAGAGGAAAGATATATCTAGAAAATAACATCAATGAGGTATATGAACCCAACCCAACCGTTTTTCATGACTTATCTTTATTCATTTTTATGATAGTGACAGCTTCTAGAGAATGAGCCAAATGATCTTAATCAGTAACATGTATCTGCAGTTAGAGGGATGTTTATCATAAGAAGTGTTTTTTAAAGTGTGATTGAAGGAATCATCACAGCAGTTAAAAAGACATGGGGATAAGCTCAAATGTGTAAAACCTTAAGTGGGCTTTTTTACACAGTACAATGTCATCATTTATAGAAAACCCATAGGCAGAAAAAAAAAGCTTGTGTGAACACTAAGTGGACCACATCAATGGATTCCATCATTTGTACCACATTTTGCATCTTTAGCAGTGAGAACTGGAAGTATATGTTCTTTGAATAACTTTTTAGGCTGACATGCGTGTAATTTTTGAACTTTAAGGTTTAACAAGCTAATTGAGGCATGCAAAGTCTGAATTTAAGTTCTTGTGTTTCCTGTATTTTTTTTCTTCTGAACATTGCAAAGTGAAAGTCCCAGCAGGTGAAGTTCAGGAGACCCACTTTTTGGCAGATTGGCAACAGCCTTTGATGTTTATATATTTCATTGCTGTAAGGCTTTTTAAACAAATAAATAAAATAAAATAAAAAACATAAATAAACAAAATAAAAAAAAATAAATAAATAAAGGTTAGCCATTTCCAATCGATGCACTTTAAAAGTGCTTTTTTAATATCACTTCGCATTAAGTCATTTACTTTTGGTACCAGTCGCTTGCTGTAGTTTTGGTCTCTCCTCGCGCATGCGCATTTTGTCATCTTTCCCAAGAGCAATGGCGTCTCCCTTTACTATTCACAGGTTACATATGAGAGGAAGGAGTCGTCTTCTAAAATGCCTAAACACAGTCGAAACAGTTTTCCGAAGGAGTGTCGGAACAGAGCCGATAGTCGCCCAGACTGAGGGAGTTCAGGACAACGATTATGGTCAGTGTGAAGAGATATATTCAATCTTTACAGATCAGCTATGTTCCAAGGGGACGCCATTACGAACTCCGCAGAGCAAACCGGAGTTTTATTTTCATTTAGCTGTAGTTTTCACGATCTGGATTGTTTTAAAAACTGCACGATATTCTGAGATTGGATTTGCTTTTACGTGACATTCGGCCTTGTGTGCGTCCACCATATATTGTTTATTTAAATAAATATATTATAAAATATTTTTCTGGATGAACTATCTAATTTCATGACACGTTAAGTCCAAGCAAGTCATTTAATTTACAATAGCTATTCGTTAAATACTTATTTTTCCATGTATTGAGTTAGTTGACTTTGTAATATTTATAACAACTGCCGCTCACTGTTATGATCAGAATCATTAATCTAATTACAGAGTTTAATAATTAAAATATAATTTTTTTATTATTATTCATCTAACCTTCTTAAAACGTGAAATATCATAGTGTCTTACTTTATTATAGCATCAGAATCTCATTAAATTACCTAAAATATTTAATCTTACAGATCCTAACTTCCAATTGGTTAACCTCCACAGCAGACCAGCCACAGCTGGCCAATCAAACTCTTTAGATCTGTGTTGGCCCCGCCCCAAAATATATTCCATGCTCCCCATAAAGACTCCAAATAGCTAAGTGATACTTACATATTTATACAGTTTACATTTTTACAGTACTTTTAAAAATGACATCAACAGATTAAGAAAATTTGTCATCTTGCATGATACTCCTCTTTCTTTTTAAATTTAACTGTTTTTATTTATCTTTGTTCATAGCACTTAAAGATGGGCTACCGAAATGGTTCTATAAAAATCAGTTACTATTATAATTATTATTTGTTCTTTAATAAGTGGTTTTAAAGATTAATTCCAAAAATATGACTTAGAACCTTTTCTATCTTTTACACTAATTAATTGGGCAGAATCTTTGTTGATAACCTGCAATTATGTTTGTCACAATACTTAACCCTTTATAGGGCACTCAGTGAAATATTTTGAAAATCCAAATTTCAAGCCAAGAGTGTTTATTAAAATCCAAGGCAAGACCTTAGTACCTTTGTAAAATAAAAAAAAAATATGGATATTTTGATGGTAATAATTAATGTAAGAACAACACCAACTTTCCCGGATATATTAAGAAAAATAAAAGTGCTTCTATAAGAAATTCATGAAAAACACCCCTAGAGTGAAAAAAACACATTTTTGGTCATACATAATCTTGGAGGCATTAATGTTGATACTGGCATTTACATTTTTTAGTTTATAAACCTAAATATAATTGTTAGCTAGGCGTTTTAACTTTTTAATTCGCTTTTTACCTTTTTTTTTTTTAAATGTTAACTTTCTTTTCAGCTTAATTTACAGTATGTATTATATCATTCTAGGGCTTATCTAATTGGTCAAATGTCAAAATAAGATGTAGAGCCATGTAGCAGGATCTTTGCTGAATGGCTGGATATAGAT